GCCTGAAAACAGCTCTCAGTCCCTCACCCAGACTGGCCAGGCACCCCAGTGGGGACCCCCACCCTGATCCAGGAAACCCTTCAGGACAAACCAGCCAGCCCCACCCATTCACCAGGCCTCTATCCTCTATAGTAAAAGGGTAATATGCCTCCCAGCACCAGGATCAGCAGAGCCGAGAGGCCTCCCGGGACCGGGATCAGCATGACAGGGAACAGCGCCCAAACCCCCTGATCGCCCTGCGGCTCTGTGTGTGACAGGGGGTGGGGCCACAACCTCCCTATCTGCCCTTCTCTGTTTGTGACAGGGGAAGGTGCCCCAACCTCCTGATCAGCCCTGCTCTGTGCCTGATACGGGGGAGCTCCCCAACCTCTGATTGCCCTGCGGCTCTGTGTATGACAGGGTGCGGCGCCCCAACCCCCTGATCCGCCCTGCTCTGTGTGTGACAGGGGGCGGTGCCCCAACTCCCCTATCGGCCCTACTCTCTGAGTGACAGGGGGGAGCTCCTCAACCCCCTGATGGGCCCTGCTCTGTGCATGACAGGGGGTGGCGCCGCAACCTCCCCATCGACCCTGCCTTGAGTGTGACAGGGGGCGGTGCCCCAACCCCCGAATCGGCCCTACCCTGCGCGTGACTGGGGGTGGCATCGCAACTTCCTGATCCGCCCTGCTCTGTACATGACAGGGGGCAGTGCCCCAACTCCCCAATTGGCCCTGCTCTGAGCCCGACCAGGGGCTGCACCTAGGGATTGGGCCTGTCCTCTGCCACCCGGGAGCAGGCCTAAGCCAGCAGGGCATTATCTCCTGAGGGGTCCCAGACTGTGAGAGGGCACGGGCCAGGCTGAGGGACCCCCCTTTCCCCCGAGTGCACAAATTTTTGTGCACCAGGCCTCTAGTATATATATAAAAGGCTAAGTGACCGTTTGACCTTCCAACCAGCTGGTAGGTATGATGCATACTGACCCCCAGGAGGCAGACGCTCAATGCAGGAGCTGCTGAGCTGCGGTGAGTTGGTAGTGGAGATAATCGGGTGATGCACCCCAGAGCCAGAGAGGAGGGAACCCGATTCCGGGGTGCATCACCCAAGAACCACCCTCCCACAATCCGGGACCCCTCGGGGGATAATGTAGAGCCGTTTTCGACCTGACCCCCACAGGCCAGGCCGAGGGACCCCCACCTGCTGGAGGGACCCTGCTCACTCCACAGATGCCCTCGGAGCTGTGGTGCCACCCCACGTGTGGCCGGCTGGGGAGGGACCTTAGAAGGTTGGCTCCAGGGCGTGTCTGGCCCCATCTTGCTCAGTCCCACCTTGCCTGCCACCTTCTAATTAATTTCCTTTCGATGTGCACGAACCCGTGCACCGGGGCACTAGTTGACATATAACATCATATTAGTTTTAGGTATACAACATAATGGTTTGATAGGTGTTTATATAGTGAAATAATTACTACAATAAGTTTAATTAACATCCATCACCTCACATAATTTTTTTTTCCTGTGGTGAGAACTTTCAAGATTTACCCTTTTAGTGACTTTCATTATAATGCCTCTTTCATTATAATGAGCTTCTCAACTTGTTTCATAGTTTAGGAGGTTGTCAGGAATATAATTGAAATAGAAACACAACAGTACATGAAATCGTCTACAGAAATGTGGCTACAGAAATGGTTCCTTTAGTTTGAACTCCAAAATGTTTTCCCTTTAACAAACACACAGCTCTTATTACATGTAAAGTGCTGGTGTGAGTGTTGTATAGACATTGACTCATCTCATTCTCATGACAACCCTAAGAGGTAGATTCTGTGTTATTACACCTGAGAAATTAAAAAGAGAGATAGAAAATTGCCCAGGGTCACACGGAGCTAGTAAGTGGGGATGTGAATCCAGAAAGCCTGCGTGGACAGCCAGGGTCATCTGTCCCGTTCCATTCCACCTTGTCAGCCTTGGCTGTCCCCCACCATGCCCGCAGGATGGCTGGGGAGAAGGTCAAAGAGGTGGGCAAGGACTTCTTTCCCCTCACGCCTTTTTCAAGTGTCCCTGGGAAGCAGCTTGCGGCTCGCCCAGAGCAGAAGAACGTGTGCCCCTTATGGCAGTGACTGTCTGCACCTGGGCCCACTGCCCTCATACAGACCTTCCGTCCCAGCCTCACCTCTCTCCTCTCCTGTTAGCTTCGCTCAAACTGTCCCCATATAGCCCTAACCTAAATCTAGTACTTCCATCCTCTTCAAGCGCTTTGACCCTCCCAGGAGGACTCTTATCCAAGAATCAGGAAATAACTGAGTTGGAAGTACGAAAGAACTTTCTAGTAGCTGGAGTTATTGAGTTAAGCAGGAAGCTTCCCCGAAGCAAATGAGCTCCCTGTTGCTGGGACAGCTACTCAGATGAGAGGGAATTTAAGTGCTTCTTTTTTAAAATATATATATTTTATTGATTTTTTACAGCAAGGAAGGGAGAGAGATAGTTAGAAACCTCGATGAGAGAGAAACATCGATCGGCGGCCTCCTGCACATCTTCCACTGGGGATGTGCCCGCAACTCAGGCACATGCCCTTGACTGGAATTGAACCCGGGACCCTTCAGTCCGCAGGCCAATGCTCTACCCACTGAGCCAAACCGGTTTCGGCTTAAGTGCTTCTTAAGGGTGGTTGGAATAAATGATGGCGAAGGTCTCTTCCCAGGATTCCATATTTTATGTTTCCTAATTGTTTTAATTTGTACTTCATATTGTTTAAAGCAAAAGGTCTCCTCTCTAATGTCCTGAAACATGTCTCATCTCCACTTGTATTACTAGTAGTTCTACCTTTAGTACTGATGCTTACCACAGAAAGATGGTGCTGGGACACATCACTTCATTTGCACAGGGTCTTCTTCCTCTAGAACAGCGGTTCTCAACCTGTGGGTCGCGACCCCTTTGGCGGTCGAACAACCCTTTCACAGGGATCGCCTAAGACCATCCTGCATATCAGATATTTACATTACAATTCCTAACAGCAGCAACATTACAGTTATGAAATAGCAACAAAAATAATGTTACAGTTGGGTCACAACATGAGGAACTGTATTTAAAGGGCCAGAAGGTTGAGAATCACTGCTCTAGAGCAAGCATGTCAAACTTGTGGCCCACAACGAATGTTTTTACGGCCCAGCCAATATAATGGTATATAAGAAACATTTTAATAAAAATTTCATAACTTAATTTTCACAATATCCTGTTATACATAATTATTAATATCGAACTACAATGTTCATTAATGACTGATTTCTATAATTGTGTTGCATTCATTTCCCTTATGTGCCTTATTGTATTCAGCATGTCTCTATCTAAATAAACCTACATTTCTATGAAAATTGAAGCTTTTGTTCTTTTGCGGCCCACATAAACTTAAAGCTTGTTTATTTGGCCCATGTTAGCCTTTGAATTTGACATGGTTGCTCTAGAGGCATCCTCTTCAAAATCCTGAATAGCCTACTTCCTCTCAGTCTAAGGGTCACTTTTTAAAAAAACATATTTTTATCAATTTCAGAGAGGAAGGGAAAGGGAGAGGTAGAAACATCCATGATGAGAATCATTGATGGGCTGCCTCCTGCATGCCCCCTATTGGAGATCGAGCCCACATCCCAGGCATGTGCCCATAGGTCAACATTCAACCACTGAGCCACACCGGCCAGCCTAAGGGTCACTTTTGACATATCATTTTTCTTATCATGCTCAGGTCAGTACCCACTGCTGGCAATTCTGCCTTCCAACACCAAATGCCTGTGATTTCCAAGAAGTTGAATCACATCCAAGGTCTTCAGGACCAGTTCCTGGTGAATCAGCATTGACGTGACGTCCTCACCCTACTTTTGTCTGTTTTCTTGTGTGACAGGAGGGCCCCAGTGAAGAGAACCAATATGTGTTATGGTTCTTAGTAGTTTGCAGTGTTTTCAAATGAATTCTCCCCTCTAATCCTCACAACAACTCTGGGAGGCAGTAATTGTTATCCCCACTTCACTGATTAGGATACTCAGAGGGCTGAGCAGGCTCTTAGGCCTGACATCACAACCTGGGAAAACAGCCAGATTGTTAGAAATTGTTAGAAAAGGGTCTTGTACCAGCTGTCAGAGCCCAGGCCTTCTGACTATGCAATCTTTTATGAGGTCCATAAAAAGCAACAGAGATAACTTATTCCTGGCACCTGTGATGTTTATATTATCTGGCGGAGCTGGGCAAGACAATAAAGGGGTCAGGACTGCGTTCCTGTGAAGATCTCCCTTGGGGATTACCATGTGAGCAGGAAAGCGGAGTGGGAGGGGCTGGTCAGGAGAGGAGTGCAGGTCATCCCCATTCGAGGATGTCAGATGGGCCGCAGTCTGAACCTAATCTGCCCAAAGGTCACCGCTATGCCCAAGCTGCCCTAACGGCCTCTCCTGGGGCCAGGTTTCTGTCACAGAGCTGATGGAATCTGAGGGGCTCATCCATCCCTTGCCATGAAAGGCACCCGAGAAAGTAACTGATTAACATACATCTAGCCCGGTCGCCACATTCATAGGCCACCATAGTGTCAGGGCCATGGCCCCCCATCTTAACGTTCCCCAGAGTCTCCACCACAGCATAGAGGTGCTTACTTCCCGTTCTCCTCCAGGACATACAGAATTGGCCTGGAGTGGCAGTGGGAGAAGCTCAAGTGGAAGTTTTCAGGGTCTGAATTGGTTACTTACACTCTCAACCCGTAGAAAGAAAAGAAAGCAACGGCAGGTTTTATACCTGAACCAGGCATTTTATCGTTAGGCCAATCTGTCCGTCCGGCCATCCATCCATCATCAGAAGTGTGTCTCCTCACGGGGAGGGGCATGGAGGATACAGAAATACCGAGTCCCTACATCTGCCACGTGAGAGCTCACTGTGTAAGCTTCCCTGTGCAGGGGCTCACCACAAGGGCGCCATGGTTTATCTGACGCCCTCGGGAAAAACTATTTGCTGTGCTCTGCCTGGTTTGCTTGCTTTCACGAGAAAAACACACAATGAAAATGATATTTATTTTATTGCATCATTTTACTGACTAGAACGCCAGACTTATAGTGGGTATAAGTATAAAAATAACCGAATTCTTACAAATAATACTTTGCTGCTACAGTACTGAATAATTAGTGGAGGTTGCAGTTATAATACAATTTTAAATAACATCCTCATAATGGATTTAACACAATCCACTGGGGACTAAGGTGTCAAGGTTTGCAAAGAGAGATCCAGGATGTGACTCAAACAGTTCCGATTCCAGCCACATGCTTCATTTCACCACAAATCCAGCAACACAAACATTAAAAAACCCCACAACAACCCATGTTGAAAAACCTTTTTTGTAACCAAGGCAATGGAGGAAGATAAGTGGGTTAGTTTCGCAGGCAGACTGCATCCATCCCTTCCCTGGGTGGTCCCATCCTTCCTACCCAATCATTCTGCCTCTAATGCCTTAGATGTGCCCCCAAAACAACGATAAAGCCAGATCTAATGCATCCTCTTCACAGATACCCAGGAGACAGAGCCAGTCTAAGATCTGTCTCTTTTCAGACCCACACTGTCCCTTTGGCTTCACAGGTTTTTCTGTGAGCAGTTTACACCAAAGAAGATGGATTTTAACACTACTGAAAAGATATTTTAGCACACTGGATTAACTGCCACTTAATACTTTAATGCTCCTAGTATTTTAACCAGAGTTTCCTTCTCTGGGGATTGGAGAAAAGAACACACACTGTAAAAGCCAACTCTACAGAACCGAGTATCCTTTTTCAAACCCAAACACAAGAACCTCAGAGTGAAATAAAATGTCCCTTCTAACCTCCGCAAAAGTTTTCACATACACACACACCAAAAAACAAACAAACACCTCTGACAGTAGGGTAATGTTAAATAAGATGCAAAAGACTGCAATTCTTCCTCTTTCCAAAGACTTGCTTTAGGTTTAAGATCAATGTAAGAATCTTAGAACTATGGGTCAAACCCAAGTTGTGGGTGTGTTAGGCTAAACTAAGCCAGAAGCAAAGTTCATAGAGCTTCAGGGACCTGGGCCCTTCACCAGTGGGCAAGATGGCTTAATAGAGGTCCCCAAAGGCCACGTGCAAGGCCCTACCGTGTCTGCCCTGGGCACGCTCCCATCTGAATAGATACCCTTCAAAGACATTTTCTTGGGCAGCCATCCAGCCTTGTAATGAAAAGAGGCTGCCTCCCTCTGGGCCAACTTTCACAGTCACCTCCTCAAGAACTTAATAATCCCATCGTCATTTCTGACCCCAATGCTGCCAGCCAGCTTTGATGAAGCTATCCACTCAGCAATTTTACTCTAAAGGATTTAGCTTCTTCTGAAAATAAACTTTTGTCAAAGCCGGAAGATTTGTCAGCGTTTCAGACATTCAACTGAACGTGTTCCCAACTCGGATAATATTCACAAAAATGTGCCTCCAAAATGTGGGAGCCACAGCCTTAGCGAGGGAACAAGACAGAGTGGCCCTCAGGTGGACAGCTAAGTCTGGCTGTGTGTCCCAAACCCCACTCATCACCTTATACCTCCTACCCCCAAAGCCACGTACCTACATGCTCCGTGCTCAGCATGAGCCAGCACTATTTTCTTAATGATGACTACACGTGTCCACAAAATACATGTAATGACAAACCTGAAAGGACTTTTTCAAAAGGGGAGTCAACCTAGGTTTTTTGTTTGTTTTTTTGCACTTCATGTCATTAGTTTAGTTATTGCTTAATAACATTAATGTTCTTTTACAAAAAGATAACACACTTTAAACTCACTCTCCCATGCCCTTTTACATTTAAAGTACACTGGATGGTGAGGCAGGGAGGTACAGTGAGAAGAGCAAGCCAGGCAAAGGGTCTGAAGCCCGGCTGTGCAAGGCAACTGTCCTCTCTGAAGTTTCCCACAGCCGAGAAGTAGGCGCTGTCCTGCCCACCTCACAAGGGTGTCGTGAGTCAAATACCTTGCATGGAGCCTGCCGTGGAGGAAACACCAGAGATGCTATGTGACCCTTCAGACTTCCCATGTTGTCTCTAGAGTCCTGGGCTGGCTCACGGGACGAAGAGGAAAGGACATGAGAAATAAGAGCCTTTGTTTAAGAGCTTACACAAAACCCACAGATGCTACCTGCCCAGGTATGTTACGGGACAGGTGGGTTCCATTCGGCCCCACTCTTCCCTATAGAAGTTTAAGAGTCTCCTGGGCAGATAGGTGTCCCTTTCCCCTTTCTCCCACTCCCCCAGCTTGGGCCCCACCCAGGGATCCAGGGCTGGGGCATTTCTATGAATTCCAGGTGTGGGGCTGACACTGCACACCTGGGCCATGGCTGAGGGTGTGTTTGCCAGGGGAGTGTCCCATCCGGTCCCTTCAGTTGAGGTGGCTGCTGCCCTAGCAGGTGTTGCTCTTGGCAGACAGACTCTTCTGGAGGTACCAGCCCCACCCAGGGGCGAAGCCAGCCTTTCCAGTCCCCACCCCGGTGGGCAGTCAGCACCGGCTAGTGGTCATGCTGTCTTCAAGCCTTCTTAGAGCCTCAGGCCCTGGAGAGGCATTCCCCACCCCCACTCACTTCCTAGCAATCGCAGCGCCCTAGGTGAATGCAACCTTGCGGGGGGGCCTGCTTTTTTTCACAGTAAAAGAAAAACACATTCTCAATCCACTTCATCTGCACAAAACCCATTCACAGGAAAGTGTTCTTGGAGCTCACAGGACATTCCTTTCTGGATTCTTCTCAAGAATGCGTTGGGGGTGGAACACTTCATTTTGTGGAGCTCATAGCTCCGGCCCAGATACAGGAGGTGACTTGTCAGCTGTGGTGGCAGCGGGGCACACCTGAGCATCGCCCCCACGTGGCTCTGGGTCCTGGGAGGAGCAAGATCTGACTGACAGCCGGGCGCCAGGCCACTCAGTCTGTTGGCTCAGGCGAGCAGATGCAGGAGCTCGGAGCTCTCCAGTTAGATGTGAGGTCACGGGGCACAGGGCTGGTTCCACGGACAGATGCAAGGGCCAAGATTTCAAAAAGGCGACTTTCAGTTGGCACCTGCTGACTAAAACAGCATTCTCTCTGCATCTATCTCATGAGAGGAGTGCAATTTAACTACCTGAGGCCGCACACCCGGCTGGCGCTCCTGGCTCCTGCTGCTGCAGGGAGGGTGAGGACGCATGGAGACCACGGGGCACAGGAGTTTGCACTTAACACTGTTAGGCTGAGGACTGCAGAAGAGTGAGGGTTAGATACATCTGAAGGGGTTAGAGAACCTTAAAGAAACAGCCCCCAGCACAGAACTGTCCCCACTATGGGTTCCACTGAGCTCTGAGCTTCCGGGTGGGACCAGTTCTTTACCTCTGTGTTCTCCACCTCACCCAAACCTAGGATGTGTCAAAGCAGAATCATCGCAGCCCCACAAGGAGCAGTTAGAGACAGCACTGGACACGCCCCTCGCAGGCCCCACGCCACGGGCATGGTAAATAAGACGCGCGACGTTCCCTCCCAGAGGCCGACTCTCACCCCTGTCTTCCCAGAGTCTTTCGTTCTCCAATGCTGACCTGAATTAGGGCCGTGTTTCTGGAGGAAACTATATAGTAGTACAAAGAGTGCAAATCATTGGGTGAGCGAAAATAAGTTACTTCTTCGGTGAATAAATAGTTCTGAGCAGTGGGCTGAAAGTTTATACCGAGTTTGTGGGTGAGATCGGGGAAACAGTTAAAGGTGCAGCATCGGAGGTGAGCAGACTTACATGTGGCTCCATCCCAGCTCGCTCTCCTTCCGCAGGAATCTGCCCGGCTTCCCACAGCACTGGGGTTTCAGGCGACGGACTGGCCCGTTCAGCCCATTGCTCTAACCACCGTCAGCTGTCGAGACTACACACGCTGTTTTTCCTTTAGTGGTGAAATGCCAGCTCACACCCAACCGGCATTCAGCTTAGCATTTCCACTCCACATGGAGCAGCCTCGGCCTCAAGGACGAAGGTCTGACACCCAGGCACCACGCCATGTGCACAGGGATGAAGAGCACCCCACCGCCTGCACCTCTCGCTCTTCCTCGGGCCTCCGCTCAGCCCCTGCCCGGCTGGGGCTCGCTGGGCCTCTCTGCAGGGCAGCTGTGTGCCTCTAACTAAAACCAAATGGAAGTCATTTTGCCCCGGCCCAGCTTGTTTGAAAAAGTGAGCTTTCACTGCAAAGGGAAGAAGTAACCTTCACTCTAGGTGCCACCTTGACTAAAAAACCAAACTGGCGTGGTGGGCTGGGCCGCACACATTTCCATTTCTCATTCTGGGGGTTGGCTTGGAGACTGCAGCACAAGAAGACCTGGAAACATATTAAAATATTGTACAATAGCCTACAGCATCTCCAGACCTTAGTGGTATGTTCATCACCAGCACCTGTTGTTTAGCACACGGTGCTGGGCAGGAAAGCAACTAACGAGCCAGTATTTTGCTATAAATTAATCACCAAATCGAGGCCCATGGAAAAATCTGGGGAAACGAGGCCTTCTTTCTGGGAGTCTTGGGAAAAAACCCCAAAGGAGACCCCCCTACCCAATTTACTAAAGTGCAAACTAAGGAGACCCCGGTGCTTGCAGTGGTGCCCAATGAGCTGCCCTGGCCGGCGTCATCCCTGCAGCCAGTGGCCGAGCCGCGGTCGCGCTGAGACCTCCTGGTACTGGCCATGTGCACATTCACAGTAACAAGTGAGCGGCCTTCCACTGTGGCCATGCCCCTCACACCCGTCCCACTTCCTGCCTGCGGCTCCAGTGCGGCTCACAGTCCTGGGAGCAGCACCTGCAGGCCCCGTGCAGTCCTCTGAGCAACAGCCGGCCCAGCCACTCGCTCAGAGCAATGGGCTCCTCTCTCTTCTCACTTAAAAGTAGTCTCTTCTCCTGCTCTCATCGCTGATGAAAGACGGGTTGTACTGTCCCGGGAAAATGCAAGAATGCCGGGAGCCCGGCAATCCAGTGTAGGCCGGGTAGAGTCCATTTCGTTCAAGTTCAGGATTCCTTACGCTTGTGGGCTGGAGGCCAGAGAGAAAAGGAAAAAAAGAGCCATTTATTATTCATGGTTTAAATTTAATAGTAAAAACAAAAGAGAGAGAATGCTGCATTATAATAAACCTCAGATGGAGGCAGCTAATACTCAGGAAAGTCTAACCTAGAAGCCAGGGCTCTCCCCCAGGCCGGTTTTTTATGGAAAAAACTAAGACCAAGGGCAGTCCAGTGATTTTAGACCAACATAGGAAAATACCTGGGTTAACTGTTATCCTTACTATTATCCCGATTAATTATTATCTGATTATTAACTTGACCTTTTAAAAGAGTGTCTTTCTTTTCTTTTTTTCACTTTTTTTATTGTTTTATTGTTTAAAGTATTACAAAGGGTATTAGATATGTGTCCTTTTTCCCCCCCGCCCTTGACAATCCCCTGGCCTCCCCTACCCCCCAGTGTCTTATGTCCATTGGTTATGCTTATATGCATGCATACAAGTCCTTCGGTTGATCTTAAAAGAGTGTCTTTCTCTGTGGAGCACAGCAGCTGTAATCCTCTCTGGCATTTAGCTGGACTCACTGGGTGAAGGGTCGTCTGGCCCCCCCGTCGGAGCTGGTCCTCCCCAGGCAGGAGGCCAACAGCGATCCTTATGTGTCTCCGACCAGGTCCCAGCCTAGCAGGTTGCGGCTGCCTGTCTGATGTGCAAAAGGGGCTCCTGGGAATGGCAAGACTGCTCTGGGGAGGCCCGCACGGGGGACCCCTGGGGGAGAAGGCTTGCCTGGCAGAAATGAAACACAGGCACTGCACACAACAAACGCAAGTCCTAGGGATGCCCGCGGCACACGCGAGACCGTGGTGAGCGACAGCACTGACACGGGTGACAGCTTCATGCCGTGGCCGTGGCCGTGGCCATGGCCGGGCTCTGCTGCCGCAGAGTGCTCAGCCTATCTTTGAAATGCAGATGGTGTTCATTTAAGTTCTCCATCGTCTCTATTGAAGGCGATTCTTTAGCTAAGGCCATGGAGGCACAGTTGGGTCCTATGACTCTGCAGGCCTGTTTGTTGCTAGGTGGTCACACCACACTGGGGTGAGGAGACCCTAGCAAATCTGTGAGTGTGTGGTCACCGGTCGCTCCTGGGGAAGACACCTGCTTAGCTATGGCTTCAGTTATTAGAGCAAAAGAACTTTCTTGACAAACAGAAAACAAAGCAAACCTTTTATGCAGAAATACCAACAAAACCATTTGAGCCAGAGCTAAGTTTGTGTCTACGTTAATCTTTCCTCTGGGTCTTCTCGTTCTTCCTCCAGGTTTCAGTTTTTCAAAGAGCCCATGGAAGCAATCGCTTTCTTACCGTAAACAAACTTGCGCTTCCCATCCAAAGTCTGAACCCCCATGGTTGGTCCCCATAGCAACCAGAGGGGGTGTGGTTTCTGTCACAGGATTGCTTGGTGCTATTCAGTCCCCACGGAGCCAGAGTGCATGTTTATTGCTACCGCTCCAACATGGTGTGAGAAGTCACCTGACATCTATTTATTTTTCGGCTTTATGTGTTTGCTTTATGGCTGACGCTGTGTGATGTGAAATGAACTGAGCAGTGCCTGGAAATATGACAGGGGTTCCTCGCTGTGGGACAGAAGCAGCCAGGATTGCAGGGTGTGTCCCATCTGTCTGAGTGACACAGTCCAGGGCTGGGCAGAGCAAATTATTAAACACCTACTAAATATATCTTCGAAGCCTCTGAGAAGTGCTGGCGGTGGATGAGGTTATATTGCTCTCTTTATACCTTTCTCGAACCCCTCAGTTTCGATTACCCAATGACACGAGGTAAGGTGGGGCAGACAAGAGATAAAAAGGAAAGGGCCAAAGGCTAAGTATCATTTCTCTATCTTTCAGTATCCAATCCTATAACTTAACAGCAAGGTTCATAACAAGACGGCTCCTGCTACCATCCCATAAAGGCAATGTGCTCTGTGGAAACAGCCTTCATAGCTCACCGTCAGTTCCAATAACTAACATGCAAATAGGTCATAAGTGAACTGAACATTAAATTCTGTCCCTAAGGGGCGTAGGCCATCAGTCCCTGTAACCTGTAACTAGCTGTAGTGCTTTGACTACAGCCAAACAGAATCTCTGTAATTCTCAGAGGGAACCGGAGCCTGCGGGCCCCCTGGACACGGACTACACACCGAGTAATACACGTCCGTCATCTGGAGGAGGTTTTTGGTGCTTCCGTTCTCATGCATCTCAATAGCTTCTCGGCCCCATTCCTGCGAGCGAGGGTTCTTGGGGTATTCAGCGTATGGGGACATCTGGAAATCTCCACTTTTGAAGATGAGTTTGCTTATGTCATTTTTATTCTTTCTGTGGGGTAAACAAAATATGTGAGAATTTAAATGAATACATTTTGTTAAAAAAAAAAAAGGCACTTGTGAAAGCACCATCTAGCATTTTACAAGGTAAATTAGACCTAAAGCTACCACTATATTTTTTTGTAGCTGCCCACCCAGGAATGTCATTACTGTTATTATCTTTAGTATTTGCCCCAAACAAGTGAAAATGCAATTAGGTATAAGAAAAGATGCAAAAACCCCTCCAACCTAGGAGGCCCAGGGGACCGTGGCAGGCCTCTCAGAGAGCTGCCAGATAGCTGACTCAGACCCTCCTGGGGACAGACAAGCGCATCGTGGGGCCAGCGGGAGCCAAGAGTCAGAGGAAAGGCCTTTGGCCGCTGGTTCTGGCCAGCGGGAGCACCACAGTGCACATGGAGCTTCTAGGTCTCATGCAGATCTATTAGAACAGGAGCTTTGGGGACGGGGCACCTCTGGCTGGGTGGAGAGATGAGACTTGCTCCCCGGGCCACACCTCGCTACTAACAAAGCTGGGACTAGAATCAAGGGCATCCAACGCCCTGACTAGTGCTCTTCTACCACATGAAGCTACTTCACAAACCATACAACCAGGATGTCTTGTTTGCAAAAAAAAAGCCACCTATTTATACATCTACACATCTCGTGTCAGTGGGTCAGGGAAACCCTGGGGCAAGTCCCCTATGTGTGAGAGGTCACTGGAAATTGTTGGAATACGGTAGTCACCTACATACTAGACCAGTGATGGCGAACCTTTTGAGCTCAGCATGTCAGCATTTTGAAAAACCCTAACTTAACTCTGGTGCCGTGTCACACATAGAAATTTTTTGATATTTGCAACCATAGTAAAACAAAGACTTATATTTTTGATATTTATTTTATTTATTTAAATGCCATTTAACAAAGAAAAATCAACCAAATATATGAGTTCGCGTGTCACCTCTGACACGCGTGTCATAGGTTCGCCATCACTGTACTAGACATTTTTACCCGTATGTACCCTGGACTTTTTTTCCTTCTACCTCATTTTTCTATAAGCAAATGTTCTTGGGAAAGCACATAGCAACTCGCGGCCATAAAAGCAAATGTCCAGTGTGTGGCTTAGGTGTTGTTCCTCCTGCAAATTCTGAATAGGCTTGCCACTGTGCTGCCCCGGAGGGTGGGGCACCTGGTCTCACACAATGGCTTACTTATTCACAGCTAGCCTTCCTTTCCAGTGACCAATAGTCACAAGGTCCTTCCCCCATGGTTACACTCCCTGGTACAGGGCATTTGGCACACAGGGGGCTTATGTCCCCTTGAGCACCCAGGGTTTCTCTCTCCAGCTCCTAGTCTCAGCCCCAGGATTTTATTTCGCTCATACTTGTGGATGAAAGGGGCCACATGCTAACTTGACAAGCTCAGGGGAGGCCTGCATGGCAGTGTTGCAAACTCAGAGACCTAAAGTAACCACAAAGGATGGTCTGAAATTAAACTTTAACTAAAAGCAGTTATGGTGGGCAGTTATGTACTAGGCCAGTATCTTCACTGACAAGGTCAACCTTTACCTTAACTTAGCCTATCTGTCTTTTTGCATCTATAACAACATACCCTTGAAATGTCTGGGTAACTTGTAACTTCCCTATTTCTGGACCCCTTGGGGCACAACCCAAAGTGCCTGGGCTCCAAGACAGATACCACATATTCCTTCATTATCATGTTCATTGTTCCTGCACCCACCTAAGTATGTGTCTATCATTTTATTTTTTTATCCAATCCAAGGGGTTTCCCTGCTTTGCCTTCTTCTACCTCTCTAGTCTATCACCAGTGGGTTTCATGTAACCCACCTACGTCCCTTTCCTTTGATTGCAATGTATAAATACAGATATAACCTGCCATTCTCCAGAGCAGTGGTTCTCAACCTTCCTAATGCCACGACCTTTTGATAC